AAAAAACATAGAAATTGAAAAATACGTAGTATCGACTTTAATTATTTTATGAGAAAATTAAACATTTGTTAAAATTAGCAAAGCAAGTGTTGGGGCTTTACTATTGTATCTCAATATCATGATAATTATCGTTTTAGAGCCTGTTTGGTGATCCCTTTTTTCGGCTTATTAGGTTTATCAGTAGCCAACTTTTTCACCAAACACGTAACTTTTGATTTCACGCGCTGAATTGTGTAATAAGTAGAAAAGGTAAGGTTGGAGTTACTTTTCTGGCTGTATTGGTTGAAGTTAAGATGATCTTTTTAGCTATTTTTCATATAATTTTTTATTTTATTTATTAATAACAAATATTTTAAATATAATTTTTTCATTAAACAACAGAATCAGCCAATACAAACACTTCACCCAAATATTCATAAATTTCAGCAGAATCAGCCAATTTTAGTGTTACCAAACGGGCTCTTAGTTAGATCAAGTTTCTCTCTATTCTAACTTGTATGGGCTATTTTATGATATGGTGTAATCTCATTTGTAGAAATGAGAAATTGGGTAAGGATACTTGCAACTTAAGAATGTGTATGTCGTATTATTATGATTACGATGATTATGGTCGAAGACATGTAGTGCTTGCGCCGCGTTTAGTTGGCCGCACTGGAAAAAAGAAGAGAGAATTGGCAAGGTTTGATTTGTCACGTACTGCATTTTAAAATTGGAGTTGACATATTCGTTCTCCACTTTTATTAGCCTTTAACGCATCTTTAATTGTTGGCCTTGGGGGGTTACGCTTTGTAGATGTAGGGTCGCAGCAGTAGGATTAGTATTAGGGTTAGGGCTTCATTGATATGTGCGTCATGACATCACACTTGTTTCCCTCATATGCACTACTGCACTAGGTAGTGCTACTTGTGCCACATCCCAATTGGTAGCACCAAAATCGGCTGTTTTGGTTGATTCTGCTGAACTTTATAAAGTTCTGGCTAAAGTGGCTGCATTGGTTGATTCTGCTGATTTAAGAAAAAATTATTTTTAAAAATATATTTTATTAATAAAATAAAGAAAAAACTACATGTAAAAATAGCTAAAATGATCATCTAAAGTAACTTCAGCAAATACAGCCAGAAAAGTAACTTCAACCTTACTTTTTCTGTTTATTACGCAATTCAGCGCGCGAAAGTAAAAGTTACGTGTTTGGTGAAAATTTTGGCTGAAAAGCCTGATAAGCCGAAAAACAATGTTACCAAACGGCCTCTATGTTTTGAAGAAGAGGGTATCACACGACTTTTAAGAAAAAGAGAATTTATGTTATTGGTATTGACTTGATAAAGTATAAATAAAGTAAGAATGAATTGTAATCATTCAAATATTATCAAATATGATACACGACAAACTTAATTAAACAAACGAAAAAATATAAAACGAGACAAAGTTAGGGTGAGAGAGGGAGTAAAGAAGAAATAAATATCGTTCTGTAAACACGGAAAAAGTGTACACCCCATTTATAAACCAATTCATATGTATGTAGACAATTTTTTTTTATTTTAAATGTGGCATGAATAAATATTTTTGTGTGTGCAACACAAAATTAGTTTTTATTTGTACCACAGACAATTCATCTACTACGTATAAATATAATAAATTACTGCGCAAAAAATACATCAAACCGCTTTAAAAGAAAATGTGGAAATTTCTACATATGACATTTTTGTAATCTAGGTGAAACTATTAGGGCCTGTTTACTGACAGAGATATTTTCTAGTTTTCCAGAAAACTGGAAAACTAGAAAACAGAAAACAGGAAACGTGTTTACCAAAGAAATTCCTGGAAAACTGGAGAAAGGAAAAAAGAAAAACGTGTTTACCAAATCGTTTTCCAAAACGGAAAAAATGAGACATGTCTCTCTTTTCCTTAGTGATTTGGAGAAGTGACTTTTACTAGTTTTCTAAATTTGGAAAACGCAGATGCTACAGTGCCGCTGCAATGAATTTTCATACTTACACCTGGTGGTAGGTCTGGTCCCGCTCCGATGTCGATTCCATTCTGGTACCTCCATCCTCGTACCTTACCCCTACCCTACCTTACCCACCCAACCCCACCCCGCATACCCATTTTTCCCTATAATGACCCTACCCCACCCCCTACCTCGGCCCCACCCCGATCCACCCTACCCAACCGCCACCCTATCCCACCTCGACCCACCCTACCCTGCCGCCACTCGTATATCACCCCTTAGCCCTTACCACATGCCCCTACCTCGGCCCCACCCCACCGCCATTCTACCCCCACCCTTCCGCCATCCTACCACCATCTAACCCCCACCCTACACTTACCCTACCTCGGCCCCACCCAGATCCCGGGCCCACCCTACCGCCATCCTATCCCACTACCCCAACCCTACCCACTACCCCCACCCTTACCGCCATCCTACCCCCATCCCTACCCCTTCCCTACCTCGGCCCCACCCTACCGCCATCCTATCTCAACTCCATACCCTATCTCTACCTTACCCCAAACCCTACCCACTACCCCACCCTTATCCCTAACCACGACCCTAACCCATCCACTACCCCCACCCAACCCCCTACCCCTAGACCTTACCACCCCACCCGACCATACCCCTTACCCACCCCCACCCATAACTTCCCTACCCCGACCCCTATGAGTAGGTATGGGTGGGTATGAAAGGTTGTGGGGGAGTATGGGTAGAGTGTAAGATCGTGGTAAGGGTAGGGGTCAAGGGTGTGGAATTGGAGAATTAGGTGAAAAATTTGATGAACATGTTTTCAGATTTGAAAATGGAAAACTAAAAAATAGAAACATAAAATTGGAGATAGAAAAACTGAAAAATAAAAACAGAAAATTGGAGAACGAAAAACAGAAGTAGAAAACAAGAAAATATCTCTGTTAGTAAACAGGCCCTTAGCTTCCACTAAATAAGCGTTAATGTACTTTTATTGGGCACCCTACCTATTATATTGAGTATTAGGAGCCAAACAATGAGTAACGCGATCTCTTGCTTCATATCTTCTAATTCATTTTTTCTTTCTTATTTTTTTATAAAAACTTATTAAATTATATCTGTAATCAACTTTTATGAATTTCAATATGCGAATCTAATGTAGTATCGTAATTTTGAAATATGCAATGATATGACATTTTAAAAATGAGCATAACATCAGCAACAATTGATCATATGTAACATACAAAATGAGCATTTATATGAAAATCGTAAGTTTTGTTGGTTGAGCATCAAGACATTTTAATTGAGTATCAAACCTCCTCTATTGAACATTAGATTCATGCGATTGAGCATCATGATATGTGCTCTCCTGTCGATAATCAAGTCATATGTGAATCTATAATACTTTTGAATTATGCATTGATATAACATTTTAAAATGAGTATAAACCGATATCAACTGGGCATACACAACTTACAAAGTGAGTATCAAAAAATTCAAACGGGCATGCATAAGTGCATAACTTACAAAATGAGTATTGAAACGCTGTGTATTGAGTATTGAAACTATGCAATTGAATATAAAATTTTCAAAAGCTCATTTGAGCATCAAAACATCTTGATTGAGTATCGTGTTATCTACTATTGGGCATTGAGGTTATGTGAGCAAATAGCAATCTCAAATTTGGTCGTGTGAGTTTCGTCGGCGGTGATCGATATGACATTTTGAAATAAGTATAAGAATGTTTTTACTTGAAATGTTTTCAGTCGCTGACCAGACCAGACTTAAACAGATCAGACCAAACCAGACTTCTTTAATTATAAATACCTACATAGAGAAAAGACATTTACCAGGTCAGACCAGACCAAACTTAAACAGACCAGACTAGACCATACTTAAACAAACCAGACCAGACCAACAAATTACAATCCAAGTAAAAACATCCTAATACCAATACCAAATGAGTATACATAATTTTCAAAATGAGTAGCCAAAAAGTCAAAAGCTCATTTTGATAACTCGTAGAGCACCCGTCACCCGTGCGATGCACGGTTGGAGAAATTTCACGATCTAATTAATTTTAGTTATATTTGAAATTGAAAAACACACTTGTAATTTTAATTAATCATTTAGAATAATATACCGTCCAATAATAAAGTTTGACGTAAAATGGCATATATTGATACGGAGTATGTGACACCGCTCCCGAACGTCCTTGAAAATTTGATTTAAAATTCAAAGTTTATGTATTGGATTTCTGATTCCCAAACATTTTGTAAAACGATTAATGTTTTATGTAATTAATGATCGATTAGTGTACTGTTCGAACTCGTATATTAGTGTCGGGCATGCAAATACTATTTGGGTCTTATTAATAAATAAAAGAGCCCAACATTATCCAAATAGTGATACATAATCTTTCAAGACAATCCGAGTAAGGTCGGACGGCCCAAACGTTATTTTGAGCCCAACCTGCTAAAATAGCAAGTATTCGAGAATGGCGTTCTAGACCCACTCGGGAGTGACCCACACGGTTAGTAGCCCATTAATATGTTCGACAAATGTCAAATAAGTGATAGAATGATTAAAGAAGAATACAAATGCCTATAGTCCCATCTTTAACATTATTGAGCTAAATAATGGGAGTAGGATTTTTCTTCTATAATATCCATTAAGTAAATTATTGTGATAAACCTACACATATTGGAAATCAATAATGTGATGAAGGAAGTTGACTTGTTCTAAATGAATTAGGATGAGTACAAAAAGACATCTTTGACAAAAGATAAAACAATAGGACCCATCTTCCCATTTTTGGAAGTATTGGTAAATAATTTGGATCCCAAAATGATTGGAATCAATTGGGAACCATTCCACATGGACTTAGTACCTGCAAAACAAGTGAAAAGAGGTGAGAAGACCATATGGGGCGGACTCTTGGCTCACATGCACAAAAACTCCAAGAGAAAACAAAAGAGGGAGGTCCACCCCATATTTGATTGCAAACCAAATATCTCCCATGTTCTTTTGTGAGCCACATACTCTTTTAGCATGTTTAGGGGCTCCTAATACACTCCCCATACACCCCATTCGACCCCCCAAAGAGATAAGAGAGAAAGGGAATCCACACAACCCAAGAGAGAAGGAAGGAGGAGAGCAGTCCGCAGGTTCGTTCTTCAGTGCGTAGCTCTGATTGTTTGAGCCATAACTTGAGATTTACTCATCCAAATAAGGCGTGCGAGATACCAACAGAAAGCTCTCAAGACGAGGAATCCGTGAAGGTCTGGTTTGCATCAATCGGAGTAGTGGAAGGCTTCCAAATCGACCGAGCAAAACACGACCTCGCAGAATACGTTTTTGTATTCAAAGTAAGTTTGAATCCAAAACCTTCCTCTCTATTGTCTAAATCATATAAATGATTGAAGAACTATTATACACTGATTGAAGTGTATAAAATGTTATTATTATGTGACTTTCATTGTTGGAAAGGTTAGATACTAACCTAATCAAAACCTTGAAAGGTTAGAGAACGAATTCGTCGGGAAACACCCGTTCTAGGGACTGTTTTTGCATTTTCGGTTAGGAGTTGAACTAGCACTTTGAGGGGGCTGTTTAACACTCAATTCCAAGCAAGGAATCAGTTCTCAATCTTCCTTGGCCGAGGCTTTGGTCATTGGATCGAGAAGGAAAGTTTTAAAGCTCATTTGAGGTGAGGACCGACATCTAGTTGCTTACAACTTGTAGGTTATGCATGAGATTACCTAAATGCTTAAATCATGTTTTTGTGAATAAATATGCTTGAACATGATATGAATGATAAGTAATGGACTTGATCATAAATTGAAACCATATTGATGAATATGGAGTCATGTGAGATAAAAGTATGCTAAAATGGTAAATTGACCTTCCAACTCATGTATGAATGTTATGTGTATGTAAATGTATGATTGCATGATGATGCTTAGCACATGGGAGGCTGCCACATATCTATTGATATGGAGGGGCTACCATTAAGAATAAATGAGTTGTAGGAATAATCTTAATAGTATTGTGATGCTAGTTAAGGATTGTTCTAAATGTTGATAGAATCAAACTTAAGGTTTGAGTTGTTTGTGATGAACTTGAATGAGATTCAAGTGTCAAGTGTGATATCATGGAGTAGGAGATCTATGGTGTGATTGTATGAAGTAGGAGATCTATGGTGTGATTGTATGAAGTAGGAGATCTATGGGGTGAATACATGAAGTAGGAGATCTATGGTATGATTATATGAAGTAGGAGATCTATGATGTGAGTGCATGATGATGTACTCGAGCCTAACTCTAAAAATGAGAAGTTATATTAGGGTTGGACCCTATGTATTGTCGTGACTATTAGTCACGGGTTTTGGGAAATGTTTTATAACAAACACGGGCCTTTGAGCCGACTACTTGACTTTATATAAAGTAAGTATGTATTTTGAAAGGGGTAATCTGGGATTACGGCCTATACTATATTATCACCCTATTTGAGGGTCTTGTGTGTGAAATACTTGTTGTATATCTATTAGATGCCTGCCACACCAGCACTTTATAGCCCTATAGAGTGCTGACCCCTTCGGGGGCGTCCCACCACCAATTTTCAGGTTGAGGCTAGAGCTTGCTTCCTGTGCTCGTTGCTCGAGAGATCATATAGGAGGGAAGACTTGGTTCGTGCTTCCTCCATTCTGTTTTTAAACATTAATAAACATGCTCATGGATATTTTACTATAGAGCCTGCGTGCTCATGAATAGCCCTGTGTGGCCCTTTTGTTTTAAACAATGTTTTTCCGCTGCGTTATGAATTACTTAGGGAATTACTTATTATGTTTGTTTATGGATGTATATGTGTGAATGATATTCAAGACGCCTTGTATAATATGAATGTGTTGGACTGCGGTTGACTATTCGTATTGTACGGCGGGTTGTTGACGTGTCCGGATTGGTCCGGGGCGTGACAATTAAGTTGGTATCAGAGCCTTAGTCCATAAACTTCATAATGAAGTCTCAAAATTCTCTTTTTGAAAAGATTTTGAAAACCATGAGCATAGAAGTTTTGTACTTGGAGAGCTTTTGGTACTTGGGTTGCAAGGTCTCTAATTGTTAAGATGGTACCCTTAGCAATTGGTATGGCAGTGACTCGAGCCAAAATGTGTCTTAAGTACCTATCCGTCAATTGACATTTGATACGAGTCTAACGACTCTTTCCCAATTTCCTTCAGAAATGGACCGTGGTGGCAGGATTACTAGGAGAAATCCGACCGGCCGTGTACTAGAGGAGACTGGACAGGGCAGTCGAAGGACCTCTAGGGCATCTAGAGGAGCTGGCCGTGGAGGCCGATCACAGACCGTGAGTGACGGTCATGTCGACACAGAAAGTGAAATCTACTGGACTACTGGTCCTATGAGGACTCGACTTACCAACCGGAAACCGAGCCGGTTGAGACCCCTTACGAAGGGGATGACGATGATGTGAGCGATGAAGAGGGGGAGAATGACTCCCTAGCAAGAATAGAGGCGCTGCTCCAACAATATCAACGGGAGCGCGAGGAAAGGGGGGAACGCCGAAGGCGCCGGGGAGGGCGAATTTCGGGTGAGGCTTCAAGAGGAAGAAGCCATGGCGATTCTCGGGCCCACATTGAACCACATGGGGGCCGGGGTGATGGAGGTCCAATCATAAGGATCTCAAAATTTCTTAAAGAGGCTAGGGACTTGGGGTGCAAACCCTTCAACGGAGCAGGCGACATCTCGGTCGCCGCGGAATGGATCAAGAGGTTGAACGAGGCAGCCCTTGATATGCAACTCACCCCCGAATTTAAACTAAGGGTGGCGGTGAGATTGCTTGAAGGGATGGCATCCACATGGTGGGATGGAGCCAAGGGAAAGTATGGCAATACCGTGACTTGGGAGAATTTCCGACAGGAGTTCTTTGCCCTCCTGACCCAAGGTGGCAAGATGACGGTGAGGCAACTTGAACATAAATTCAGGGAGCTCGCGGAGTTCATACCGGAGTATGTCTGTGACGAGAACCGGATGGTAAATCACTTCTGGGATGCCTTAGACCTGGAGGTGCGTGAGAGGGCAACACAGTTGCCTAACATGACCTTTAGCCAAGTGGTCGAGCAAGGGTTGAAAGGAGAGAAAGAATGGGAAGAGAGAAAGTTGAAAAACGCTGAAGAGGCGAAGAAGAGAAAGTGGGAGAACCATGGACCTCAAGGTCCTAGCAAAAAGGGGAACCATGGGGGAGGAGGATCCTTTCGGACACCCCCACTGCCATCTAGGGGAAGTCAAGGCCCGGGCGGGCAATCACAAGCCTCGGGGGGGACTCGTTGCAAGAATTGCAAGAGGAACCACCTGGGGAAATGTCGTGACCCTCCTAGATGCTATCAATACGGAAACACCGGGCACTTGAAGATGAATTGCCCACAATTGGGTGGGGCAAGGTCATCGGGACCAAGTAGTGGTAATACCGTGACACGGAATCAAGCCGGGACTTCACAAGCGTCCAGGGGGCAAGGGGGAGCAAGCGCAAGCAATGCGCCGTCCGTGAATCAAGGAAGGACTCAAGCTAGGGTCTACGCGATGACGGAGGCGGATGCTCAAGCTAACCCGGATTCCGTTGCAGGTATTGCCTCTCGTATGCTAGTGTTTTATCCTTAATTAGTCCATAAATTGAGGTTACTAATTGCTAGGATCATTGCACAAGGTTTTGGGGTCAAACCGGGGGATTTCGGGCAACTTCAGGCGGCTGGAACCCAGGCACGATCGTGCCTAAGGCAGACACGATCGTGCCTCCAAGTCAGTAGCTGCCCAGGAATTTCCCAGCCCAGGCACGATCGTGCCTAAGGCAGACACGATCGTGCCTACAAGGCAGTAGCTCCCCAGGTGTTTCCCCAAACCAGGCACGATCGTGCCTAAGGCAGACACGATCGTGCCTCCAAGGCAGTAGCCCCCAGGGCTTTTTCCGGAGCCAGGCACGATCGTGCCTACCCCAGGCACGCCGTGCCTGGCACCCAGATTGCCGAAGTGCGATTTTTTCGCACCGTTTTGCGACGATAAGACCTTTTCTTGATCCCTAACGTGCGTGTGAACATTGTAACCTTCTATAATTGAGTAGGGAGGGTAGGAAAGATGTCTTACACGGTTCATGAATGTAGGGACACTAAAGATTAATGGGAAGGATGCGCGAATCCTTATCGATATCGGGGCGCAACGTTCATTTGTGAATGAAGCGTTCGCCAAGAGATTGGGAGTGCAATCCGCACCATTGACGCAAACCTTAGTGGTATCAACACCACTAGGGGACGACGTGGAAAGAACTTCTTACTATCCATCTTGTGGGGTGGAGGTTAATGGTCAAACCTTGACGTGTGACTTCGTACCGCTGAGCATGATTGAATTCGATGCAATCCTAGGGATGGATTGGCTAGAAAGGAACCATGCTAGGGTAGATTGCTACACGAAGGTTCTTGAACTCGAAGGCAATGATGAGGAGACCCTACGCTTCGAGGGCGATCGAGGGAGATCAAATAGCTGTATCATATCCGCCGTGAGAGCGAGAAGTATGATGAGAAAGGGATGCCACGCATATCTAGCATACGTGGTTGACAAAACCAAAGAAGAAACGAACATCGACGATGTGAGGGTGGTTTGTAAGTATCCGGATGTCTTTCCAAAAGATTTACCGGGACTTCCACCCGATAGAGAGATTGAATTTGTGATCGAGGTCGAGCCCGGCACCAAACCAATCTCCATACCGCCATACCGTATGGCACCCGCTGAACTTAACGAGTTGAAAACCCAATTGCAAGAGCTTTTGGATAATGGTTTCATTAGACCAAGCCACTCCCCGTGGGGAGCACCAGTTCTTTTTGTGAAGAAGAAAGATGGGACACTTCGAATGTGCATTGACTATCGTCAACTGAACAAGGTCACAATCAAGAATAGGTATCCCTTGCCTAGGATTGATGACTTGTTTGATCAACTACGAGGAGCAACCGTGTTTTCGAAGATTGACTTGAGGTCGGGGTACCATCAATTGAAGATTAAGGAAGACGACATACCAAAGAGTGCTTTCCGCACAAGGTATGGGCATTTTGAGTTCCTTGTTATGTCGTTTGGGTTAACAAACACCCCAGCGGCATTCATGGACTTGATGAACCGAGTATTCCATAAATACTTGGATCGGTTCGTGATTGTGTTCATAGATGATATCTTGATTTACTCGAAGAGTGAAGAAGAGCACGAGGAGCATTTGATACTTGTTCTTGAGACACTACGGGAGAAGCAACTTTATGCCAAATTTTCTAAATGTGAATTTTGGCTAAAGGAAATTGGCTTTCTCGGGCACGTGGTTTCAGGATCGGGAATTGCTGTTGATAACAAGAAGATAGAAGCCATTACCGAATGGGAGAGACCAAAGAATGTCAAGGAAATTCGTAGCTTCCTTGGATTGGCAGGCTACTACAGAAAGTTCGTGGAAAAGTTCTCTGTTTTGGCGTCGCCGTTGACGAAGCTCACTCGAAAGGGAGCTAAGTTTATATGGGATGACAAATGTGAGAAAGGATTCATCGAACTAAGGAAGCGATTGACCGAGGCACCGGTACTTGCATTACCCAAACAAGGTGTGGGGTACGATGTCTATAGCGATGCGAGCATCCAAGGGCTTGGATGCGTAATGATGCAGAATGGGAGGGTAATCGCCTATGCCTCACGACAGTTGAAGAAGCATGAGGTGAATTATCCTACTCATGACTTGGAGCTGGGGGCTGTGGTGTTTGCACTGAAGATATGGAGACATTATCTCTACGGGGAGACATGTCACATATACACTGATCACAAGAGCTTGAAATACGTGTTTACTCAGAAAGAGCTAAACATGAGACAGAGACGGTGGATGGAGTTGATAAAGGACTACCATCTAGTGATAGAGTATCACCCTGGCAAGGCAAACGTGGTGGCAGATGCTTTGAGCCGGAAGAGCTCGTCTGGGGCATTGCTAGCTAATTTGAGGGCATTAAGAGCCCAACTGGAGGTATCCAGCGATGGTGCCTTATTGGCACGATTTGAGGTGAGACCTACTTTACTTGATGAGATCAAGAAGGGTCAAGAGACTGACGCAGAACTTATGAAGGTCCGGGAACGCATGCAAGCGGGACCGGTGGAGGATTTCAGGGAAAGAGATGATGGTCTCTTGTTATTTCGTGACCGAGTGTGTGTGCCGTCAGATGATGAGCTCCGAAAGTCCATCTTAGAGGAGGCTCATTCATCGGCTTATGCCATGCACCCGGGGGGCACGAAAATGTACCGTGATTTGAAAGAAAGTTACTGGTGGTCTGGAATGAAGAGGGAAATAGCCGAGTACATCAGCCGATGCCTTACTTGTCAACAAGTTAAGGCAGAACATCAGCATCCAGCAGGCTTGTTACAACCACTTTCCATTCCTGAGTGGAAGTGGGAACATGTGACTATGGATTTCGTGGTAGGTTTACCACGGACAATTCGGAACTACGATGCGGTTTGGGTTGTTGTGGATAGGCTCACAAATAGTGCACACTTCTTGCCTATCAACACTACCTACCCACTTGAGAGGTTAGCCAAACTGTATACGGATGAGATCGTGAGGCTGCATGGGGTCCCAGTGACCATTGTATCCGATAGAGACCCACGATTCACATCACGTTTTTGGCCGAAATTTCAAGAGTCTATGGGAACGAGGTTGAAGTTCAGTACTGCATTCCATCCACAGACGGATGGGCAGTCTGAGAGGGTTATACAGATCTTAGAGGATATGCTGAGGGCTTGTGCGTTAGAGTTCCAAGGAAGTTGGGACAACCACTTAGCACTCGTGGAGTTTGCCTATAACAACAGTTATCAGGCGAGTATCGGCATGCCTCCATATGAAGCATTGTATGGGAGGAGGTGTCGTACACCGTTATGCTGGGACGAGGTTGGCATGGCCAAACTCGAGGGTACTGAGTTGGTTGAGATCACCAAGTCAAAGGTGAAGTTGATTCGAGAGAGACTCAAAGCGGCTTAGGATAGGCAAAAGAGTTATGCAGATAAGCGTCGAAGAACCTTAGAGTTTAAGGTTGATGACGAGGTATTCCTGAAAGTTTCTCCTTGGAAAGGAATCATTCGATTCCAAACCCGAGGAAAGCTTAACCCACGATATATAGGCCCATTCAGAATTATAGAGAGGGTTGGGGCCGTAGCATATCGTCTACAGTTGACTCCTGAGTTGGAGAAGATTCACAATGTATTTCACGTGTCCATGCTTAAGAAGTATGTGCATGATCCTTCTCATGTGTTGGAGAAGCCGCCCGTGGAGGTACGTGAAGATTTGAACTATGCCGTGCAACCGGTAAGAGTTATTGACAGAAAAGTGAAGAAACTGAGGAGTAAAGAAGTTCCAATGGTTAAAGTCCTTTGGAAGAGTGACCGGGTCGAAGAAGAGACTTGTGAAACAGAAGCTTTGATGAGGAAGCAGTATGCATTCCTATTCGAGTAGAGCTGTGAATTTCGGGGACGAAATTCCTGTTAAGGGGGGGTGAACTTGTGACACCGCTCCCGAACGTCCTTGAAAATTTGATTTAAAATTCAAAGTTTATGTATTGGATTTCTGATTCCCAAACATTTTGTAAAACGATTAATGTTTTATGTAATTAATGATCGATTAGTGTACTGTTCGAACTCGTATATTAGTGTCGGGCATGCAAATACTATTTGGGTCTTATTAATAAATAAAATAGCCCAACATTATCCAAATAGTGATACATAATCTTTCAAGACAATCCGAGTAAGGTCGGACGGCCCAAACGTTATTTTGAGCCCAACCTGCTAAAATAGCAAGTATTCGAGAATGGCGTTCTAGACCCACTCGGGAGTGACCCACACGGTTAGTAGCCCATTAATATGTTCGACAAATGTCAAATAAGTGATAGAATGATTAAAGAAGAATACAAATGCCTATAGTCCCATCTTTAACATTATTGAGCTAAATAATGGGAGTAGGATTTTTCTTCTATAATATCCATTAAGTAAATTATTGTGATAAACCTACACATATTGGAAATCAATAATGTGATGAAGGAAGTTGACTTGTTCTAAATGAATTAGGATGAGTACAAAAAGACATCTTTGACAAAAGATAAAACAATAGGACCCATCTTCCCATTTTTGGAAGTATTGGTAAATAATTTGGATCCCAAAATGATTGGAATCAATTGGGAACCATTCCACATGGACTTAGTACCTGCAAAACAAGTGAAAAGAGGTGAGAAGACCATATGGGGCGGACTCTTGGCTCACATGCACAAAAACTCCAAGAGAAAACAAAAGGGGGAGGTCCACCCCATATTTGATTGCAAACCAAATATCTCCCATGTTCTTTTGTGAGCCACATACTCTTTTAGCATGTTTAGGGGCTCCTAATACACTCCCCATACACCCCATTCGACCCCCCAAAGAGATAAGAGAGAAAGGGAATCCACACAACCCAAGAGAGAAGGAAGGAGGAGAGCAGTCCGCAGGTTCGTTCTTCAGTGCGTAGCTCTGATTGTTTGAGCCATAACTTGAGATTTACTCATCCAAATAAGGCGTGCGAGATACCAACAGAAAGCTCTCAAGACGAGAAATCCGTGAAGGTCTGGTTTGCATCAATCGGAGTAGTGGAAGGCTTCCAAATCGACCGAGCAAAACACGACCTCGCAGAATACGTTTTTGTATTCAAAGTAAGTTTGAATCCAAAACCTTCCTCTCTATTGTCTAAATCATATAAATGATTGAAGAACTATTATACACTGATTGAAGTGTATAAAATGTTATTATTATGTGACTTTCATTGTTGGAAAGGTTAGATACTAACCTAATCAAAACCTTGAAAGGTTAGGGAACGAATTCGTCGGGAAACACCCGTTCTAGGGACTGTTTTTGCATTTTCGGTTAGGAGTTGAACTAGCACTTTGAGGGGGCTGTTTAACACTCAATTCCAAGCAAGGAATCAGTTCTCAATCTTCCTTGGCCGAGGCTTTGGTCATTGGATCGAGAAGGAAAGTTTTAAAGCTCATTTGAGGTGAGGACCGACATCTAGTTGCTTACAACTTGTAGGTTATGCATGAGATTACCTAAATGCTTAAATCATGTTTTTGTGAATAAATATGCTTGAACATGATATGAATGATAAGTAATGGACTTGATCATAAATTGAAACCATATTGATGAATATGGAGTCATGTGAGATAAAAGTATGCTAAAATGGTAAATTGACCTTCCAACTCATGTATGAATGTTATGTGTATGTAAATGTATGATTGCATGATGATGCTTAGCACATGGGAGGCTGCCACATATCTATTGATATGGAGGGGCTACCATTAAGAATAAATGAGTTGTAGGAATAATCTTAATAGTATTGTGATGCTAGTTAAGGATTGTTCTAAATGTTGATAGAATCAAACTTAAGGTTTGAGTTGTTTGTGATGAACTTGAATGAGATTCAAGTGTCAAGTGTGATATCATGGAGTAGGAGATCTATGGTGTGATTGTATGAAGTAGGAGATCTATGGTGTGATTGTATGAAGTAGGAGATCTATGGGGTGAATACATGAAGTAGGAGATCTATGGTATGATTATATGAAGTAGGAGATCTATGATGTGAGTGCATGATGATGTACTCGAGCCTAACTCTAAAAATGAGAAGTTATATTAGGGTTGGACCCTATGTATTGTCGTGACTATTAGTCACGGGGTTTGGGAAATGTTTTATAACAAACACGGGCCTTTGAGCCGACTACTTGACTTTATATAAAGTAAGTATGTATTTTGAAAGGGGTAATCTGGGATTACGGCCTATACTATATTATCACCCTATTTGAGGGTCTTGTGTGTGAAATACTTGTTGTATATCTATTAGATGCCTGCCACACCAGCACTTTATAGCCCTATAGAGTGCTGACCCCTTCGGGGGCGTCCCACCACCAATTTTCAGGTTGAGACTAGAGCTTGCTTCCTGTGCTCGTTGCTCGAGAGATCATATAGGAGGGAAGACTTGGTTCGTGCTTCCTCCATTCTGTTTTTAAACATTAATAAACATGCTCATGGATATTTTACTATAGAGCCTGCGTGCTCATGAATAGCCCTGAGTGGCCCTTTTGTTTTAAACAATGTTTTTCCGCTGCGTTATGAATTACTTATTATGTTTGTTTATGGATGTATATGTGTGAATGATATTCAAGACGCCTTGTATAATATGAATGTGTTGGACTGCGGTTGACTATTCGTATTGTACGGCGGGTTGTTGACGTGTCCGGATAGGTCCGGGGCGTGACAGAGTATGATTTACCAATGATCATGGAGGAGAACACAAATTTATATTCCCACAAAAGATTAAGTACAATGTTGTATTAATATAATTTGAAAACACATAACATTTCATGTTATATGTTATGAAACACTTCATTACATAAAACACTCTCGGTTTCAATGTTTATTCATCTGTCATTGTCTGCAATGTGATTTTTAACTCCCCGCGATAGGTTATTCGTGACACAACCACTTAAAGTTCAGAATGACTAAAAATAGGTTCTCAACAACAAACCAACACATCACAACGGCCATCTTTGAATTTTATTTACTCTCATGACATAATAAGCCACATTTGAGATATTATCGATCTGCAATTGAAATGGCAAGCTAACATCTGATCGGGCTAATGAAGGAATACATGGGAATTAGCACATTTGTCCCCCCACTAACTAGGGGTGAGCATCGGTCGGGTTCGGGTCGGGCGGGTTGGTAAACCCAAGACCCTGTCGGGTTTCGGATGGGTAAATTGGATATCCTACCCTATCTTTTTTTTCTTTTATAATTTCGGGTTTTCTTGAAATTCGGGTTGGGCGGGTTCGGATCGGGTTTCGGGTTTAGTCGGTTTAATATTTATAACAGTAATAAATAAATAAAAATGAAATTGCAGCACATTATTTGATTAACATACAAAATCCGAATACATACAAAAAAAGCAGATTAACATACCAATTTTTTTTGACAGAACATTTTAAAATGCAGATTCAGTTGCCACAGAATATGATAGAAGTGTGCACAAATTACATCCAAAGTTCCAAGTATGCAAAAATAATGCATCCAATTATCCTTACATCCAAAGTTCCAACTTCCAAGTATGCAAATTACACAAAGTTCCAACTTCCAAAGTTCGAAGTATGCAAAAATAATGCATCCAATTATCCAAATGTCCAATTTCCATTTCTCAGAATCTCAACCAACCCACTCAGTTGCTTTACTTGCTTGAACTCTTGAAGTTCCACACCTCCATAGCTATTTTCCACACTTAAGTTTCCACCTGCATACAAATATAAATTAATGAACACATTGAATTGATTGAAACTTAAAAGCAATACACAAGGAGGACTCAAGGATAAGTTAATGAAATAAATAAGGAGGATCAGTGGCTCAGAATGCTTGTTATCCTTCACAAGGAATACAGGGGCAACTGCTTCAATTTCAGTTACAACTTACATGTTATGAACTGAAAGAGCATTACCAACCCTAAACCATACATTCAGTAATGTGTGGAAGCTTCATCATAGCCAATGAAAATTAATATAAATGATAGAGTCAAGGATTAATAGGATAAAGAGACACTTACTCAAAACCTGGAAATCAGATCAAGTGACAAGGCCCAAGGGTCCAGGGACAGTTCACAGTTGGCAGCATGTGCATTGTTTCCATAATGACAGAATCATACTCATTCAAATGTAACAAGCACACAATACATTATACATGCATATAGGGGTTCACAAGTACAACAAAAAAAGACATGTCAGCTACATTAGTACACAGTTCATGCAATATATTTAACAATTTAAGTATTACACATGGATACTGGATATAACATATACAGATAACAAATATACTTAACAGCTTCCAAAGTCACCAACATTTGCAATTCAGTGGACAACTTACACTTACCATTTTATGAAGTGAAACTCTGAAAGAGCAAGGGAAATAGGGGGCATCTGCTAAGGCTGACATTTCATAAAGCTCAGAATGCTTATTATCATTCACAAGGGAAATAGGGGGCATCTGAATAGAGGTCCATGTATCAGTAGTTATACTAACTCTCTGAGTGTGTTCCCTAAAATTCCTTTTCAGAGTCATTTTTTCATCAAGGTATATTTGATAAATGTCTCTAGCAATTGTCCATCTAGAAGGAATTTGAAACCTAGGACAGGCTGCAGCCACAAAATTCCTGAAACCCTGTCTGTCTACAAAGCTAAAAGGAAGCTCATCAATGATTAGCATTACACCTAGAGCTCTCCTAATAGCTTCTTGATCAAACACCCAAGTTCCTAGGACCCCAATATTTGCAGAGGGTTCACCTATCTGTGCAGGGACAGGCTGAAAGGTTAATAAGGCCTGTCTAGTGTCTTTAGCATGAGGGTTTTTCAGGCAACTAAGCATGTGATTTCTGATGGAGGAAGTTCCATGTTTCTTAGAGTGGCACCAGTATATTTTTGCACAGTATATGCACCTGCCTTTAATAACCACACCCTTTTCATCTTTAATTTGGACAAAGTGCTCCCATATCTTAGATCTTGGTTCTACAACTTTTCTCTTTTGTCCAGAAACAGAAGGTGGTGCAGTCTGATCATTGCCATTGATAATGTTAGGCTCAGGAGTTTGACCTTCCACCAGTGTTTCTTGACTCAGAGGAGGTTGAGATCCAGATGTAGAAAAGGTCACACTTTGTTCAGGGTCCATCTAATGAGCATGACCACACAGTAACACATGATAATTTAATACTTAGCTTCCACATAGACACATAGTTATTATCTCATAGATAATATGTAAGTCTGGAACAATCAGCAAGCTGATTTACAGAAGGATAAAAGCACTTTGCTTTTTCACTTCTCTACAGACTCTGAAGAAACCAGTTCACTCTTTGTAATCGTTTGAGTAGTAGAGTACAAAAAGGCTTCTTCACAAAAGTAAGAATGCAGTTAATCAGTTATGTACAACAGATAACATTACAAGTAAGCCACACATGATAGTTCATATGATCATATCTCACAGTTATGTACACTAAGCTTCCACAATTCCACATACCACAGTCATACTGAGCTTCCACTATTCCACATAGTTCATATGATCATATCTCACAGATAATAATCATAACATGTGTATGAAACAATCAGCAAGTGAATGTCAAAACTCATGTATATACAGGTCTTAACTCATCACTCATGTATAACAAGTCAGAAGTCAGAACCACATCTCCACGGAAGAAACATATGAATAGGCAACACATGAATATCAGACTGGAAACACATGAAACATATGAATAGGCAACACATGATGATTGATGACATGAATATCTGCCAACACATGAATATATACATTCCACAGTCAGAACCAGTGAACCACATCTCCACACCAAGCTTCCACATTTCAAAGTACAGGTCTAAACTCAGAAATCAAGTATACATCCATACAGGTCTAAACTCAAGTATACAAGTCCGAACCACATCTCCACAGTAGGCAACACATGAATATCAGGCTACATATAATATTATAATATAGCTTCCACAGTTCGACATTCATATTTCAATTATCAAATAAACAGGGACATGCGACTCAGAAATCAGATCTGTACATGACTGAACTCAGAAATCAAGTGTGAAGATCTCAACATGCAACTTTGAGAAATATATTCGAACATGAGAAAATGTTTAAGTATTTTATACCTCACGGCTCAAACAACAAAGATCGGGAATCGGTCTCAAGTGTCAACTACTCACAGAATCACTGAGTCACACAAGTGACACAACCAACACGCTCGGCTAGAAGGAGATGATTAGATGAATGCTTCCACTAGGTTGAAGATGACAGCCCCACAACGACGGTCCTTGGCGGCCGACGAAGAGAGAAGTCAGAGTGTAAGTTAGGGTTAGCCACTTAGAGAGAGTCAGAGAGAATCGAGAGATAGAGATTAGAGAGTGTAAGTTAGGGTTAACCGGAGTGGCGGAGAAGGGAAATAGGGGATAAGGGAAATAAGGCTGGGTTAATGGGTTATGGGTAATATGTTAATGGGTATGGGCTATTGGGCTTGTGGGTAGTGGGCTTAGGCTATATCGGGTTTTCGGGCGGGTCGGGTAGGCTTTAGGAGCACCCTACCCGTTATTAGTCGGCCCAAATTTAACGGGCCAGCGGGTCGGGTTTCGTTGGCGGGTCGGGTCAACCGACCCATTCACACAAAATCGGTTATACCCGATCGGGTTTTTCGGGTAGGGTCGGTTTTGCTCACCCCTACCACTAACCCTTGTTAAAATCCTTCCTCACATTAAAATGTTTTGCTATTAATTCACCAACATAATGCGCAAATGATTTTGCCAATGAAGTTTTTATTTTCAAAGATTTATGTATATTATTTGAAGGTAAATAATTTATAATGACTAAATAATTTAATAGTATTCCTATGCATTTATAAGAATTGCATTTTTTAGGAGAATTGCCTATGTAAATAAGCAAATCAGGTGTGCAAATATGTAAAAGTTAGTTATGTCATTCTTAAAATATAATTGAATATAAATTTGTGGAAAAAGTCCTGCTATTTTAAACATGTCAGTTGACTTCCTATACGAAAAAATAAATGGCTCAATTATTTACTTTTCAAATTCTGGAATCCGTGCCTGTTAAAAGGAAAACTTGTGATGAACATAACATTTGATCTTGTACTTACCTCACGATACGTGAGTTGTTATCATTTTCTTGAACACCCATTGGTTTAAGACGAAGAGAGTGTTTGTGATTGCTTCTACTTTAAAAAAGTGATTTTTAAAAGTTGATAGTGTTTGATAAAAAAGTGATTCTGAAAAAGTAAAAATTGGTAGTCTTTGGTAAAATGAGTGTTTTTTATGTAATAGAAAAAGTGAAAAGCAGTTTAAAGCATCCTTCCACCTGCTTCCAGCTTTTAGCTTTTAAGTGATTAATTTAAGCAGAAGCTGTCATTTGAAAACATCCCTTTCAACTTTTTTTAAGCAAAAAGCTGAAAAACACTTTTATTAAGCAATGGAAATTGGAAAACACTCCTTATAACATTCAAGCATCACCCCTTCTCTCCCCTTCCCATTGTGAGGGGTGCAAAATCAGATTCAAGCATAAGAAACTGATGTGAAGAGTTTGTGGAAGGGTTTTGGTGGTAAACCTTTGGGAAGGTTTATAGTAATGCAATCCAGATGTCTTTAAGAAAGTTGTTTGTTAAAAAATAAACTTATAAGACTGGAGGATAGTGACTTTGTGTTTAGTGATCTTGGATAGTAAATGACAGAGTGAGTTATTCTGGTTCAGAAGTTGTGTAATCTTT